TTCTGTACCATCATTGCCCCCAGTACGTATTGATGACAGGATTGAAGGTTGAGTTTTGTGGTTGGGTTGTGTCCCACTTTGGTTTTTCAGTAGCCCACAGAGTATCATCTTGTGCAAAAAAGACTAGAATGTGGTTCTCAATCTTCTTAATGCTGTGAACCTATGATACAGTTCCACATATTGTGGTGACCCTCAACTACAAAATTATCTTCAATACTACTTCATAACTGTAACTTTCCTACTCTTATAAATTGTAATGAACATATATATGGTTGTGAGATAGCTGATATGAACAGATCATTCGAGCCCAAAGGGATTGTGACTCACATGTTTAAAACTTCTTGTCAAGAAGTAGGGGTGAAGAACCTGGGTATACCCCTTACATTCGAAGAGCTCTGTGGATGTTTTCCTTGGCCAAAGGACAACAATGTTGGTTTTCAGAAAATGACCTTTTGTGTCAGGATCAGTCTGGGTTGTTTTGGGATTGCTGTGGAATTCCCTCAGAAACAACTCAAATGAATGCAACCCAGTCTCACCACTGGAAGCCTTGCCTGGCTACAGTCAAGTTCAGAGACCATATTCTGCATTACTAGGAGTCCTCACTAGGGTCATCCGCATAGATTCCAAGGTTCCTCTGCTGGACTAGGTATCCACAAGGCCCCTATGCTCTCTGATTCTATCTTTGTCTTCTGAAACTGTCTTCTTCCACTCCCTTCCCATCTGATTCCTCCCTGGTTTCCTTCTCAGTCAAATTATCATTTTGGACATAGGAGGGCTCTCCTATTTTTAAAATTAAGCTCCTGTCTTCACCTACAGGCAGTCTACAAACAAACCTTTTTTTATTTCTCCTTTTCAAGGAGATCAAGGAATCGGCCCTAGAGACCTAAATTTATCTAAACTTGTGGAGAGGTGGGCCGTGAGAGGCAGCTGGGTACCAGGTCCCCGGAGACCCTAAAGGGATGGTGTTCGGCCTCACTCCTGGGCCCTGGTTTCTTTCACTTAGCTTCAGTCCTCTACAGCCCCTCCCATAGAGTGGTCTATGGCCATCAGTCATGTAGGAACAGTGCCTCAGGCTCTCCCACATGTAGATGAGGTATCTCCAAGCTCTCAGACCAAGCCAATAGGAGTTATCTGCTGCTAGACCCTAATCCACCCCAAAACTGTATATAAGAATCCTATTCAGGAGAAGAAAAGGTATGCAAGATACATCCAGTTGTCTGAGAGTTTCTGTCACAAGAGCTGTAACACTACTACTTGGGAAGAGATATGCTCTCCCTAAGGGCCTTCAGGACCCTTCCCACGCTCCTTGCTAGCTAGTCGGCTTCTCACTGGCTCAGCCCAGAATGGCTCAGTGCAGATTGACAGGTGCAGCACCTGTGAGCAAGTGAGTAGTGACAGTGGAGATGCAGGCAGAGGCAGCAGTGGAGGGAAAGGAGGTGGTTCCCCCTCCCTGCTTGCACTGTATGCCCTTAGCCCAAAACACTGCACCTAGGCAGGCTGGAGATCGTCATGGGAAGTCTTCTGGCACCAGCACCCACATAAACTTTCAGAGTCTGTGAATTGTAGCATGATTATTATGTTGTTAATGCTAATATCCACTTATAAATTAGTACATATCATGTTTATCCATTTGGTATGGGTTACCTCACACAGGATTTTTTTGTAGCACCATTCATTTGCCAACAAATTTCATGATGCCACCTTTTTTAACATTTGACAAATACTCCATAGTGTAAATGTGCCACATATTCTTTATTCTGTTGAGTAAAACCTAGGTAAATTGCAGTTTTTGGTTATGTATAAAGCCACAATGAACAGTTGAGCAATTTTCCTTGTGGGAGGATGGGGAATCCTTTGTGTATTAGTCCTTGTAGTGATTCTGACTGTTGAAATTTCAGAGTTGTTATGATATGCATTTCCTTGATAGCTACGGATGTTGAACATTTCTTTATGTGTATCTTAGCCATTTGAGATTCCTGTATTGAAAATTCTATGTTTAAATCTGTACTCCATTTTCAATTGGATTATTTTGGTTTTAATACTTAATTGAGTTGCTTATGTATTTTGAGTAGTAGAACTTTATTGGATGCTGATTTTTTAAAAAAACTCTTCCATTTCTGTAGGCTTCCTCATTTTTGTTTCCTTTTCCTTACAGAAATGTTTTATTGACATGAAGTGTCCTTTATTACCTGATGATCTTAGTGACTACACTATCAGTGTTTTGTTCAGAAAATTATCTCCTATGTTAATACATTCAAGGTTGTACTATTTTTTTTCTTCTATCAGATGTAGTGTGTCTTGTTTTACATTGAGATCTTTGATCCACTTGGACTTTTCATTGATGATACTTTAATTTTTCCAGTGTGTATTTCTGGCTTTTTTTAAAAAATCAAAATTAAGAGATCTCCAGTTGTTTGGATAAGTGTCTGTGTCTTCAATTATATTCCATTGATTAATGTGTTTTTCTTGTACCAAAAGGATGCAGTCTTTATTTCTGTAGTTCTGTAGTACAATTTAAAATCAGAGGTAGAGATACCTCTAGTAGTTCTTTTATTTCTCAAGACAATTATAGCTATACTCTGTTGTTGTATTACTGTATGAAGTTGAGAACTCTTTTTCCCAGTTCTATAAATAATTGTGTTAGAAATTTATTGGGGATCACATTGAATATGTAGATTTCTTTTGGTAGAATTGCCATTTTTTTACCATGGTAATTCTACCGATTTGTGAGCTTTTTATGTTCATTCGTTAGGGAGATTTTTTCATCTTCTGATATTTTCATCATTTTCTTTCTTAAAAACTTGAAATTCTTAACATACAAGTGTTTCAAATGTTTGGTTCGAGTTACATCAAGATATGTTATAGTCTTTGTGGCTACTGTAAGATGTTGATTCCTTGTTTCCTTCTCAGTCAACTTATCATTTTGGACACAGGAGGGCTCTTCTACTTTTAAACTTAATTGTGTACCAAGCTATTATGCTGGAAGTGTTTATCAAGCTGTAGAAATTTGCTAGAGGAAAATTTCAGATTGCTGACATATCATATCACCTGTAAATACATATACTTTGGCTTTTTCCTTTATAACTTGTAGTACCTTGATCTCCTTCCATGAACAATTTGCTCCAGATAAGACTAAAATATTCTATTGAGTAGCAAAGAAGAGAGTGGACAACCCTGTCTGTTTCCTAGTTTTTGTGTAATTGCTTTGAATTTCCCTCCAGTTAATTTGATGTTGGCTATAGGCTTGCTGTAAATTGCCTTTGTTTTATTTAGGTATATCCCTTTTATCCTTAAACTCTCTGAATCTTTTGATATAAAGAGTGATGGGTTTTGTCAAATTTTTTAGGCATCTAATGAGATGACCTTGTGTAAATTTCTTTTATTTTCTTTACATGTTGATTACATTTGCTAATTTTCATGTGTCCAACCATACTTACCTCTCTTGGATGAAGGCTAGTTGATCATGATATTTGATCATTTTAATATGTTCTTGAATTTAGTTTGAGTACTTTTATGTGTATCTTCATAAGGAAAATTAATGTCTCATTTTCTTACTTTCTTGAGTCTTTATTTGGCTTTTGGTATCAGGGTAACTCTAGACTCAATAAAATGAATTGGTCTAAGTTCCTTCCATTTCTATTCTCTGCAATAATTTGAGGAGTTTGGGTGTTGACTCTTGAAAGTTTTGTAGAATTCTTCACCAAATATATATGTCCCATTTGTTTGTTTATTTGTTTATTTTATTGGGAGAATCTCAATGACTGCTCTTTTTCACTAAGGATTAGAAGGCCTATAGGTATTGTGTGTGTGTGTGTATGTGTGTGTATGTGGGTGTGCATGTGTGCATGTGTGTGTGCTTGCATGTATGTATGCATGCTTGCATTCATGTATGCTTGTGTGTGTGTGTTCCTCACCAATGATTGTATTACAGTTACTTTTCAATGCTCTTACAAAATTTGATCTCTGATACAATGGTCTACAATCCTTAGTAAAGTCTATTCTGTTTATGATTATACACAAAAAAGTTTAACATAATTACACAATCTTTCATATTCAGATTATTGTCCATATTTTATATCTCAGATAAATCAATCAAATCAAATATTATATTACTTTTAATTGCCTTTAATGTATATTTACATCCAAGATTAATGAGACTTTCATAATTAATTAATTTTCATAAAATTTTTAGAATTATGCCTTATTTACAGTTACATACCCACAAACACCTACATATATTTTACTGGCAAGTAAAATATCTCATATTTTTCAACTAATTTTCAATATATAAGTAATGTAGAGCAGGTTTAGCATGAGAATGTTCATTGAAAGTAGGCATCTAAGCTCAGCGTGATGGCACATGCCTTAATTCCAGTAGTCTGTTTGCAGAGGCAGACAGACCTCTGTGAGTTCCAGTTATGTACTAAAATCTTCTTAAAGGAATACTGAGAACAAGAGAAATACTCTTCTTCACGAAGAGAACACCAAAATGGTTATCCAATACCAAGTGGTCAGTCCTAAAAGTGTACATACAAGTAATATGCAGACTGAGCAAACTGAGCAAGTTGCATTTTATTATATATATATATATATATATATATATATATATATATATATGTGTGTGTGTGTGTGTGTGTGTGTGTGTGTGTGTGTGTGTGTGAGAGAGAGAGAGAGAGAGAGAGAGAGAAAGAGATTTACATATGTTTCTATATGTGTGTATATATATATATACATATATACATCTGTGTTGATAATAGTGTATAAAACAATGAAAGAGGCTACTAATTTGAAATAGGAATAAAAGAAGGCTTTGAGAAGAGGAAAGGAAGGGTAAATTAGATGATTGTATTTTAATATCACCAAATAAAAAAGTATAAAAGCTATAGGAAACAAAATCCTGGGAAATGGTCTCTTGAATGTTTAATTTTTAATCTCATAATAATTAGGCTATTATATGCTGGCTATTTCTGAGGTACTATTTTTATTTTCATTATTAATAGACATACTACAATTGTTCTTGCATTAAAGAAGGATTGACATCTACTGATGATGAAGGTCACTATATTGATGCTGTTTCTGGAACATGTGATACCAAATGTCTTACAATGCCTTTGTTTTTTGCCTTTTACGTTTCTGCAACCGTTTTTTGTAATTTAAGTGTTGTACCTGCCATCTTGATTATCTTACAGTAAGTATGTAATTTTTATAGTTTGAGAAGTTAGCACATAATAATGACACATTTAGAAAGAGGTCAAATTATTGCAGCAAATGATTTCCCATGTTTTATTTTAGCAACTATAAGTAGAAAATATTTATATTGTGAAAATTTAAGTATAAGTATAATTTTTCCTTTTACGTATTTTACTTGGTATTTTTCTGTAACGTGAATAGATGGTACATTAATTCTCACTTTAATTTAAAATGCAACCAGTTTTGAAATTAAATATATTACTTTCTAACTGAATGAGAAGGATCATTCAGAGATATGTAGTTTTAATTAATTGTATAAATGTTAGCATCATTAAAAGTTAATTAGGTTGATAAAGTTAATAGATTCTGAGAATGGTCGAACTGAGAATGAGGAACTAAAGGAGGATAAGTATACATTTACACATGAAGGTTTGTGTGCTACGTTTCATCTAGCTTTGCTCAACTCAGTATACATTCTTTTTATATTTAAAATTGTGAAAGATAGAGACATGAATTATGAAACTATTAATCATGAATAAAATGTTGAATTTTATAAATTAGGCATTTTGGATAATGTTTAATTTTAGTTCAAGGAAATCAATAATGAAAGCAATAGTCGAGGTGCTGAGTTTTTGTTTTTCCTTTCTCTTTATAAGTTTTACTTTTTATAGTTGAGTCATTGCCCTGTCCCAGTCCCTTTTCCAATAATATCTCATTCTACTCATTCTCCCCCATGTCTCTAAGAAGTTGCCCAACCCCAACCCATCCTCTTAACCTGGGGCCTCAAGTCTCTTCAGGGTTAGGCACTTCTTCTCCAACTGAGGCCAGAGGACGCAAGGCTTGGCTTTATAAGTGCTGAGGGCCTTATACAAGCTCATTTATGCTGCCTGGTTGGTGGCTCAGCATCTGAGAGATCTAAGGGGTCCTGGTTAGTTGAGACTGCTAGTATACCTATGGGGTCACTCTCCTCCTCAGCTTCTTCCAGCCTTTTCCAAATTCAACCACAGGTGTCACCAGCGTCTTTTCACTGGTTGGGTATAAATATGTGCATCTGACTCTTTCAGCTTCTTGTTGGGCCTTTCGGAGGGCTGTCATGATAGGCCCCTGTTTGTAGGTATATCATAGCCTCAGTAATAGAGTCAGGTTTTGGTGCCTCCCCCTGAGCTGGCTCTCAATTAGGGCTTGTCACTGGACCTTGTTTTCCTCAGGTTGTTCTCCATTTTTGTTCTGAAGTTCATTCAGAAAGGAACAACTCTGGGAAAGAGTTTTTGACAGTGGGATGGCAGCCCCATCCCTCACATGATGCCCAGTCTTTCTCTTGGAGGTGTACTCTACAAGTTCCCTCTCCCCACTGTTGGCATTTCATCTAAGGTCCTTCCCTTTAAGTCCTGAGAATCTGTCACCTCCCAGGTTTCTGATACATTCTAGAGGGTACCCACCCCTAGGTTGTGGATTTTTCTTCATCTTGCTGGTCGTTAGGACTTCTTCCTATGACCCCCCCACACACACACACACATAACTGATTTTGTTACTCTTTTCTCCTATCCCTACTCTCTCCTACTCGGGTACACCACTCCCTCTGCCTCCTGTGATTCTTTTCTTCTCTATTCCAGGTAGGACTGAAACGTTCTCACTTGGGGCCTTTTGTTTGTTAACCTTCTTGAATTCTGTGGATTGTATCCTAGGAATTCTGTACTTTTTTGGCTAATATCCATTTACTAATGAATAATGTATCATGCATGTCCTTTTGGGTCTTGGTTACCTCACTCAGGTTGGTATTTTCTAGTTCCATCCATTTGCCTGCAAAACTCATGATATCCTCATTCTTAATAACTGAGTAGTATTTCATTGTGTAAATGAACCACATTTTTTTTAAATCATTTCTTCAGTTGTAGGAGATCTGGGTTGTTTCCAGCTTCCTGCTATCACAGATAAGTTCTCTAGAAAGATAGTGGAGCCTGTGCCCATTTGGGGCATATTTTGGGTATATGCCTGACAGTGATATTGCTGAGTCTTCAGGTAGATCTATTTACAATTTCTGAGGAACTTCCAGATTGATTTCCAGAATGGTTGTACCAGTTTACAATCCCATGAGCAATGGAGGAGTGTTCTATTTCTCCACATCCTCTCCAACATGTGTTGTCACCTGAATTTTCCATCTTAGCCATTAAGATTGGTGAATGGTAGAATCTCAAGGCACTTTTGATTTGTATTCCCCTGATGACTGAGAACTTTGAACACTGCTTTAAGTGCTTCTTTGCCATTCAAGATTCATCTGTTGTGAGTTCTCTTGCTTGGCTCTATACCCTAATTTTTGATCGGATTGTTTGGTTTATTGGAGGTTACCTTTGAGAATTCTTTATATATTTTGGATATTAGTCCTCTATTTGATGTGGGCTAAGTAAAGATTTTTCCCAGTCTGTAGGTTGTGTATTTATTCTATTGACTATCTTTTGACTTATAGGAACTTTTCTGTTTCATGTAGTCCAATTTATCAATTCTTGATCTTATATCCTAAGCCACTGGCATTCTGTTTAGGAAATTTCCCTCTTGCCAATGAGCTCAAGGCTTTCCCCCACTTTCTCTTCTATTAGATTCAGTGTAGCCTGATTTTATGTTGCGGTCCTTGATCCATTTGGACTCTCCACATACCTATTCAATATATAGTACTTGAAGTTTTAGCTAGAGCAGTGTGACAAGAACAGGAGATAAATGGGCTACAAATTGGCAAAAAAAGTTAAATTATTACTCTTTGCTGATGGTATGATAGTATAAATATGTGAACCCCCAAAATTCTACCAGAGAACTACCACAGCTGGTAAAAGTTCAGCAAGGTTGCTTGGTCTTTGTGGCTGAGGCAGACATCTCTCTGGTCTGCTCTCATTAAGACACCATATCCTGAGACATCCTAGAGGAGCCACTGCACTCAGAGCAGAGGATAACAATGCTCTCCCACTACCCTATGCCCCAGAGCTACAACTGGGAGCAGAGGACACTCAGGACCCATCAGGTACCCAAACCCCGCCCTGTGGAATACCACTCCTCTTCCGCCCCTTGCTTGGTCGTTGTGGCTGGAGCAGACACCTCGCTGGTCTGCTCCCATGAAGACACCATATCCTAAGACATCCTAGAGGAGCCACTGCACTCAGAGCAGCAGAAGCTCAGGATTACAGGATCACAGAGACATCTGGACCCTGAAGAGTTCTGACACAAGCAAGATAACTGGAAAGACAGGCTCCAGTCAGAGACAGTGAGTGCACATAGCACTAGAGTTAACCAGATGGTGAAAGGCAAGCACAAGAATGTAAGAAACAGAAGCCAAAGTTACTTGGCATCATTAGAACATAGTTCTCCCACCATAGCAAGCCCTGGACACCCCATCACACCGGAAAAGCAAGACTCAGATTTAAAATAACTTCTTATGATGATGATAGAGGACTTTAAGAAGGACATAAATAACTCCCTTGAAGAAGTAGAGGAGAACACAGGTAAACAGGTAGAAGTTCTTAAAGAGGAAACACAAAAATCCCTTAAAGAATTGCAAGAAAACACAGCCAAACAGGTGAAGGAATTGAACAAAACCATCCAGGATCTAAAAATGGAAGTAGAAACAATAAAGAAATCACAAACGGAGAATTCCTTGGAAATATAAAACCTAAGAAAGAAATTAGGAATCATAGACTCAAGCATCACCAACAGAATACAAGAGATAGAAGAAAAAGTCTCATGTGCAGAAGATACCATGGAAAACATTGACAAAACTGTCAAAGAAAAATGCAAAATGCAAACTCCTAACCAAAAATATCCAGGAAATCCAGGACACAATGAGAAGAACAAACCTAGGATAATAGGTATAGATGAGGGTGAATATTCCCAACTTAAACAGCCAGTAAATATTTTCAACAAAATTATAGAGGAAACCTTCCCTAACCTAAAGACAGAGATGTCCATGAATATACAAGAAGCCTACAGAACTTCAAATAGACTAGACCAGAAAAGAAATTCCTCCCATCACATAATAATCAAAACATCAAATGTACAAAACAAAGAAAAAATGCTAAAAGCAGTAAGGGAAAAAGGTCAAGTAACATATAAAGGCAGACCTATAAGAATTACACCAGACTTCTCAGCAGAGACTATAAAAGCCAGAAGATACTGGACTGATATTGTACAGACCCTAAGTGAACATTAATGCCAGCCCAGAGTACTATACCCAGCAAAACTCTCAATTACCATAGATGGAGAAACCAAGATATTTCATGACAAAACCAAATTTAAACACTATCTTCCCCAAAATCCAGGACTTCAAAGGATAATTGATGGAAAACTTCAAGACAAAGAGGGAAACTACAACCTACGAAAAGCAAGGAAGTAATCTTCCAACAACCCCAAAAGAAGATAGTTACACAAAAATAATTCCACCTTTAACAACAAAAATAACATGAAGCAACAGTCATTTTTCTTTAATATCTATTAACATCAATGGACTCAATTCTCCAATAAAAGACATAGACTATCAGACTGGATACATAAACAGGACTCAGAATTTTGTATTATACAGGAAGTATACCTCAGTGAAAAAGACAGACACTGCCTCAGAGTAAAAGGATGGAAAATAACCTTCCAAGCAAATGATTCGAAGAAACAAGCTGGAGTAGCCATTCTAATATCAAATAAAATTGATTTCCAACCAAAAGTAATCAAAAAAGATAAGGAAGGACACTTCATACTCATCAAAGGAAAAATCTACCAAGATGAACTCTCAATTCTTAACATCTATGCTCCAAATGAAAGGACACCCACATACATAAAAGAAACTTTACTAAAGCTCAAAACACACATTGCACCTCACACAATAATAGTGGGGGATTTCAACACCGCACTCTCAGAAATCGACAGATCATGGAAACAGAAACTAAACAGAGAGACAATGAAACTAATAGAAGTTATGAGCCAAAATGGATTTAACTGATATCTATAGAACATTTCATCCTGAAACAAAAGAAGATACCTTTTTCTCAGCACCTCATGGTACCTTCTCCAAAGTAGACCATATAATTGGTCACAAAACAGGCTTCAACAGATACAAAAAGATTGAAATAATCCCTTGCTTCCTATCAAATCACCATGAATTAAGGGTGGTCTTTAATAATGACAAAAACAATGGAAAGCCCATATACATGTGGAAACTGAACAACTCTCTACTCAGTGAAGACTTGATCAAGGAAGAAATAAAGAAAGAAATTAAAGATTTTGTAGAATTGAATGAAAATGAGAAAACAACATACCAAAACTTGTGGGACTCTATGAAAGCAGTGATAAGAGGAAAACTCATAGCTCTAAGTGCCTACAAAAAGAAACTGGAGAGAGCATACACTAACAACTTGACAGCACACCTGAAAGCTTTAGAACAAAAAGAACCAAATACACCCAAAAGGAGTAGATGGCAGGAAATAATCAAACTCAGGGCTGAAATCAACCAAATAGAAACAAAAAGAACTATCCAAAGAATGAATAAAACCAGGAGCTGGTTCTTTGAGAAAATCAACAAGATAGACAAACCCTTAGCCAGACAAACCAGAGGGCACAGAGAGAGTACCCAAATTAATAAAATCAGAACTGAAAAGGGAGACATAACAGAAACTGAGGAAATTTAAAAAAAACCAGCAGATCCTACTACAACGGCCTATACTCAACAAAACTGGAAAAATCTTGATGAAATGGACAATTTTCTAGACAGATACTAGGTACCAAAATTCAATCAGGAGCAAATAAGCCATCTAAACAGTCCTATAACCCCTAAAGAAATAGCAGCAGCCATTAAAAATCTCCCCACCAAGAAAAGCCCAGAACCAGATGGTTTTAGTGCAGAATTCTATCAGACCTTCAAGGAAGACCTAATACCAATTCTCTTCAAACTATTCCACAAAATGGAAATAGAAGGAACACTATCCAATTTGTTCTATGAATCTACAATCACACTCATACCTAAACCTCACAAAGATCCAACAAAGAAAGAGAACTTCAGACCAATCTCCATTGTGAATATCGATGCAAAACTACTCAATAAAATTCTGGCAAACTAAATCCAAAAACACATAAAAAAAAAAAGCATCCATCATGATCAAGTAGGATTTATCCCAGAAATGCAGAGAAGGTTCAATATTCAGAAATCCATCAATGTAATCCACTGTATAAACAAACTCAAAGGAAAAAAAAACACATGATCATCACACTAGATTTTGAGAAAGCATTTGATGAAATTCAACATCTCTTCATGATAAAAGTCGTGGAAAGATCGGGAATTCAATGCCCATAACTAAACATAGTAAAAGCAATATACAGCAAACCAGTAGCCAGCATCAAGCTAAATGGAGAGAAACTTGAAGCAATCCCACTAAGATCATGGACTAGACAAGGCTGCCCACTCTCTCCCTACCTATTCAATATAGTACTGGAAGTCCTAGCCAGAGCAATTAGACAACAAAAAGAAGTCAAAGGGATACAAATAGGAAAGGAAGAAGTCAAAATTTCAATATTAGCAGATGATATGATAGCATACTTAAGTGACCTTAAAACTTCCACCAGAGAACCCCTAAACCTGATAAACAACTTAAGCAAAGTGGATGGATATAAAATCAACTCAAACAAATCAGTAGCCTTTGTCTACTTGAAAGATAAACAGACTGAGAAAGAAATTATGGAAGTGACACCCTTCACAATAGCCACAAATAGTATAAAATAACTTGGAGTGAATCTAACCAAGCAAGTGAAAGATCTTTATGACAAGAACTTTAAGTCTCTGAGGAAAGAAGTCAAAGAAGATCTCAGAAGATGGAAAGATTTCTCATGCTCATGGTTTGGCAGGATTAATTTAGTAAAAAGGGCCATCTTGCCAAAAGCAATCTACACATTCAATACAATCCCCATCAAAATTCCAAATCAATTCTTCATAGAGATAAAGTAATTTGCAAATTCATTTGGAATAACAAAAACCCAAGATAGCAGGAACTATTTTCAACAATAAAAGAACTTCCGGAGGAATCACCATCTCTGACCTCAAACTGTTCTACAGAGCAATAGTGATAAAAACTGCATGCTATTGGTACAGAGACAGGCAGGAAGATCAATGGAATAGAATGAAGATCCAGAAATGAATCCAAACACCTATCTTCACTTGATCTTTGACAAAAGAGCTAAAACCATCCAATGGAAAAAGGACAGCATTTTCAGCAAATGGTGCTGGTTCAACTGGAGGTCAGCATGTGGAAGAATGTAAATCTATCCATTCTTATCCCCTTGTACAATGCTCAAGTCCAGATTGATAAAGGACCTTAACATAAAACTGGATACACTGAAACTAATAGAAGAGAAGGTGGGGAAGACCCTCGAATATCTAGGCACAGGGGAAAAGTTCTACAACAGAACACCAATGGCTTATGTTCTAAGATCAAGAATTGACAAATGAGACCTCATAAAATAGCAAAGCTTCTGTAAGGCAAAGTAAACTGTCAATAGGACGAAATGGCAACCAACTGATTGGGAAAAGATCTTTACTAATCCTACTCCTATAGAGAGGTAGTATCCAATATATACAAAGAACTCAAGAAATTAGACTCCAGAAAACCCAATAACCCTATTAAAGATGAGGTACAGAGCTAAACATAGAACTGTCAACTGAGGAAACTCAAATGGCCAAGAAGCACCTTATGAAATGCTCAACATCCTTAGTCATCAGGGAAATGCAAATCAAAACAACTCTGAGATTCCACCTCACACCAGCAAGAATGGCTAAGATCAAAAACTCAGGTGATAGTAGAGGCTGGCGAGGATGTGGAGAAAGAGGAACACTCCTCCATTGTTGGTGGGACAGCAAACTGGTAGATAGCACTGAGTTATTTCAGAAAAAAATGTGGTTCAGACAGATTTGATCCATAAAGTTCTTTCCCAAAGAAAGAATTACTGGGTTTGAGTTTTTAGTCATCATGTTAAATAATCGGTAAATGAATAGATATACAGTGTTCATATGCCAAATTGAACTTTTGTCAGCCAGCTAAATGTTTGTGGTATAAATTATGTATAATATTTACATTTAAAAACATAAACCTGGCATGTGTGACTCATAGGTAATATTATTGCTGTTTATTTTCAGAAGCGTACCTGCGAGTTGGAATTCAATGGGCATGGGTTTGACCTTTACAATGTCGAGATTAATTGGTATGTGTTTTCGACTATATACAATGTACAAAATTGTTTATCTTTGGTATTTAAATCTTCATGTATATTTAAACTTCATGATAAATCATAATGTAAAGTGACACAAAAATGAATATGAGGTTGCTCTGAAATATTTAGGAGCTAAGTAAATATAGAGAGAAATTGGCTAAAATAAAAGCCATCCAATTAAACAAAATAGGCATCAATTATATTGTGTTAGCTGAAGCCTTTATTTGGAACTGAAGTATCTTCATCACACAAATTGCACTCATAGATTATATAACATATCCACATATTCAAAGTAATATTATATTTGTTGCTGTACGTTTGTGGATTCCCATAAGAAATCTGTTCTGTGAACTATTTTCCCTAATCATGGATTTTGACCATAATTATAGTACTACTCAAATTTCTTCCTGCAGATTAGTTCTCCATTTTAAAAAGAAAGGGCTTGATTGTCCAGATAAACAGTCTTGCCACTATTATACGATAGGCACTACCTACCTGAAAGCTTTGTACTGTAGTTGGGTCTAGCCACAGATAATATCCTACTATTGTTCATCAGCCTGCATAGCTCACCCACCTTTCTGAATGCTAGTCAGCAGGGAGATTTCAGGATTGTTTTTTCTGTGTCCTGTGACCAAAGCATATGGTGCTTTCAGTTATCAGGTGTTATCGTCTAGATGGGGTGGAACTATAATTACTGGCCTTAAACTATATTGTTCCAAGTGCCTCTACAGCCTTGCTGACCAATAACCAACAAAAAGATAAGTTCTGTTTTACACTGATATTTTCACTTACGTATTACATGTCTTCATGAAGAGTATTATTTACGATTATGGGACACATCTATTTAAACTCAGAAATAATTCTTATCACAAAAGTTATTATACCATTCCTGGGCATATAACCAAAGGAATTGATATCTTATTACAAAGATACTAGGATATACATGCTCATTGATTTTATATTGCATTACAGCTAGGAATGGAGACAACTTTGGTGGTCATCAGCTGATGAATGGACCCTGAGAATGCATACATATGCACAGTATAACTTTGCTTACCAGTAATGAAAATGTGACATTGAGAAACTTGCAGGAAATGGATATAACCAAAAGCAATTATATTGAGTGAGGCTACTCATGTCCAACAATATAATATAACTCTAAATATTTATTTTCATATGTGGACCCTAGTTTCTGATCATTTGTAGGTTTAATCCAAAGTATATGTTGAAAGTATAAATGTCCCATTGCTTGATAGGATGAATTTGAAGAGGAGGGATGTCAGAATATAAGTGAGATGTAAGTAGAAAGGGAAAATAGAGGGAACAGATGGGTTTGGGTAGGGCGTGAAATAATAGACCAAAAAAGAAGGATCACAGGAAGCCTTAGAGCAAATGAAGTCTTCAGGAAGTTACATGGGCAACAGTGATCTTGCAGCACGAGTAAAAGTATATAAACAAGAATGATAAAACTCATATGATAGGAAACCCCAGAGGGACATACTGGGTGCTGTGCTTTTAAGAGGATGGGGATGAGATGAAGGGAGGGGAAATAGAGTATGAGTCCATCAAAACTAAGAATGATAGAAGATTTATGAAATCTCACTAGGTTTTAAGCTAAGCTAAAATAAAAGATATGAATAAAAAATGTATTTTATTTGATAGCAGCACATTGATCCCGTGTGTGTGTGTGTGTGTGTGTGTGTGCACGTGAGAGCTTTGAGAAGAAATTTTTCTTATCCTGTTTTTTGTTTGTTTGTTTGTTTGTTTTTAATGAAGTACTTCTAATCATTGACTATTTTATAGTATCTCTCCCTGGACCACTACTTATTGAAGCAGCATCAGATTTCACTTGTCATTTCTGGGACATTAATGAATGTGGAAAGAAAGTACATTGTTGGATCTTTGATAAGGAAAATTTGGTCTACACATTTCAGATAATATGTAAGTTATATGAATTGTATAAATAAAGGTGATTAAAATAATCACTTTATTAAATAAAAGTGATTTTGGAATTTTCAATTGTTATACCAAGGTAATTACTATGAATAATTATTTTGATAAAGACTTACATAATTTGGTAGGAAGTATTATATAAACTTGTATTACATAATTTATTTAGATGTTTAATTTTCTTGTTAAATGCATTCTAGATTTCTGCATTATACTTTAGGAAATAAAATTTCAATGTGTTAATAACTATTCTGTATATTTCTGCAGCCAAATTAAATTTTCCTGATAAGGTTTTTGAGGGTAACAGATTTAAATATTTGATAAATTTGAATAAAAACTATAATAGCTGTGTGGTTAATTGAATAGGTATCACGCCCTCACCCTCCACACATATTCATCTGTTTGAATGTTTCGCCCATAGGGAGTTACACTGCTAGGAGGTATGGCCTTTTGAAGTAGGGGCAGAACTTTTAGAGAAAGTATGTTATTGTGGAGTTAATATTTATTTCTCCTATACTCAGTCTGTTTGCCTACTGTAGCATAGATCGACTCGATATATGCCAATTAATATGTAGAACTCTCAATTTCTTTTCCATTCCCATGTCTGCTTGCACTCCAGCATGCCTCTCACCATTACAGTAATCAACTAAACCTCTTTTACCATAGGCAAGTCCCAGTTTTTATAAGAGTTTATGTGGTGTCTCTTCCCACCAGTAACATCCTAAGATAGATGTTGGCACCAGAGAATGGAGTTCTGCTATGATAGACCTGACCATAATTTGATTTGGAGGAATGTGGGTTTCGGTCATTGGGTTAGGAAAGCAGTGGAATGTGTTTTAATTGGGTCATACTAGTAAGAACATAGAAGACACTGGTGCTGTGGGTGACTTGAACTGTGGGTGCTAGGCTCAAGAAATTTCAGAGGAGAAGGATTTTAGTTTGTTGCCTAGAGATCATTCTTATGATATTAGGGTACAGAATGTGGCTGCTCTTGCCCTTGTCTGAATAGTCTCCCTGAGGCTAAAGAGAAGAGGTTTGGATTAATTTCATTGGCAAACAACGTCTCAAACAGCCTAGGGTAGACTGTCCTGTGGTTCACTTGTATGAAGAAAGGTTTGATGAAAAGGAACAAGGAAAATTACAAAACGAATGTTTCATGGAGAAAATGGGCACCAAGATGTACAAAGGAACTAAGTCCCATGTTCAAACAGATAGACATATTAAAGACATTAAGTGGAATAAAGGGATTTGTGACATCACGGCAAAATTCCACCAAGGCAAGATTCCATCTTGTGAAAAGGAATTAAAGAACAGTTTAGGTCTAGGCATGGAGGCACATGCCTTTAATCGCAGCACTCAGGAGTCAAACAAGTTCATAGTCGGCATAGACTACAGATGGAGTTCCAGAACAATTGAGTTTAGACAATGAAGGAAACCATCAAAAACAGAAAGCTAGTGAAGATATAATTGAATTATTGGGCCATGTTGCAGCTCCATCTAACAGGAGAACTTGGCATCTTTGGACATGTGGTTCTGTCTTTAGAAGAAATGATAAAAGAAAGAGGTTAAGGAACCTTCCTCTCTGACTAAGGAGAGTTGCTGTCACAAGGACTGTGTCAAGGACTTTCCTGCATGGAGACCTAGAGAAGCTATTGAGTGAAGCTGTGAAAGTGAAGCTTGGATTGTCTTGGGGACTCCAAAATGTTAGAGATGCCAGATCCATTGGATCCCTGTCAGATAGCTAAACACAGGGAATGAAATTAGCCCAACAGATAGATCTGTGTTACAAGCAACAAAACTGAAAGAGATGGAGATTTGAATAGCACTTTGAAATCAGACACAGAGATGCAGAATTCAGAATTTGTCAAGTTAGGTTTTTGTTTGTTTGTTTGTTTGTTTTTGTCTTGTTTTCTTTTGTTTTGGCTTGCTTTTGTTCAGTATTTTCTGACTGTGTTCCATTCCCTACCTTTTGAAACAGTAATATATATCCTGTTCCATGTTGGGAGTATGTGATCTGCCTTTTGATTTTCATGTTACAATGGATTACTGTTAAGAGGTTACATGAATTTCAGAAGATACTTGGAGCTTTGGATTTTAAACAATGTTGAGTCTGTGATAGACAATAGAGACTTAAGAATTTGGACTAAACATATTTTGCATTACAATCCAATTACAAACTCATTGCGGCGAAGAATTGAAATGTAGTGGTATGGTCCCCATAGACCCATGTGTCTGAATGCTTGACCCATAGAAAGTAACACTATTAGTAAGTGTGGCCTTGTTGAAGTAGGTGTGACATTGCTGTATACCACTGTGGAGGTGGGCTTTAAGGTCTTCTATGCTCAAGCTATGCCCAGTGTAGCACAGAGTTTCCTTCTTCTGCCTGTGGATCAAGATGTACAACACTCAGCTCTCTCTCTATCACCATCTCTGCATGCATGCTGCCATGCTTCCCACCATGATAATCATGGACTAATCTAAGCAGGATTGAAAATCATGAAAATATAAGCAGGCCAAATTAAAATTTTCCTTTATAGGAGTTGCCATGCTCATAGTGTCTCTTCACAAAAATAAAATCCAAAGTATGGCAAGTTGCCAATAATATCATCAAAACACTATGGTCTCTCTAAAGAATAAACTTGAAAGTTTCCTCATTTTGGGCAAGATAAGAGATATATTTTCACATATTTAGTTATTAAAAATCTCTCAAAAGCATGAGATGATTGATGTCTGGGTATGGTTGAGAGATATCACTGAATGCTTCTTTTAAATAAAATGCAAATAACCATAAGACCTTCATGAAAAATATTGGATCAAACTGACAACATATCTGCTAAGAAAGAAGGAAAAATAATTATGCTAATTTAGATATTTTATCTAAGAGTTCAAGAATGATGGACCACACATAAGATGAATTCTTAAATTTGATAAAATATGTGTGCATAAAAGATATGAATAATAGTGAATGGGATTTAATTGAATTGATATCAGCATGTGGAAACGGAAAGTAATGCTGTATGTTTGTGTTAATGTGTGCAATTAGTGCTGTGTACACTTTGGAATATACTTCTTGGGATATGTCTACTGTATAGACACAAACAAGAGAATGCAATCAGAAAAGAGAATATGAAAAAGAACTTAAATTCAGCAGAAATAAAAAAAATTGGGAAATAAGAACAAATTAGAAATTTGAAGCTAACAACACAGGAGCTGATGTAATAAATTATAATTTCATTGACTGGCTTACACATGAACAAAAAGTATCTAGTAAACCACAAGGAAAGTCATTTCAAATTATCCAGTCAAGAAACACAAAGCAATAGGAATATGAGATAGTGAAGAAAAGCTATATGGGTTATTGATCACCATCTAAAAGTTTCACAAAGAATGTTCAGTAATCTCACTAAGTGATGAATGGATAATGACCATATGACATTACATGCCAGACACTATTTTGGTCCCAAAAGAAGGAAAACATGTCTCTTTTGAGAATATGGATAAATCACGTAAATATTATATATATTACCATTACATTTTCAGTGACTCTAAAACTAGTTGAATCTTGGTATTTTATACTAAAGTTTATAGAGCTCATAGTCTGGGAGTTTCAAATTCCAAATAGGATTACAATTATGACAGAACCTTTTTTTCTGCATCAGATCATCAGCAGCAGCATAATGTCTGGGACCTGTTTGTCATGGAACAACCACACTGTGAGACAGGACGCTAAGAAATTCAGAGCTTAGGCTTATTGCTACAATGGGAAGTAATCAAGGTCAATGCCTTGTAAAATACATATATGTAGTGTTCTCTATGAGTCTCCTACTGTGCCCTACATCTTATAGGGCTCATCAGCAGTGTATTAATACAATACAGTCAAGCTTTCAATGCATAAATATCCAAACTGTAGCAATCTATCCTTGGCCTCCAAGATCTATGACCCTCTCCTAATATAAAATATAATAATCCCATCCTCATAGTGCCAAGGACCCTGAAATATCACTGCAAAGATTAAATCCACAGGTTTAACTGGTACACTTTCAGATATGAGCTGAGGTTTTAAAAAGTTACATGTCTACAAATTAGGAGGGTGACAAACACAGGATAAACATCAGTAGTCCAAAGGAAGATGTCATGAGGCAGAGAGGAGTCCCGAAGCCAGAACAAAGACTAAAAAATCCAGCATGGAAGATACAGAATCTTAAAGTTCCAAACCTGATATTACATAAACATTGTAATGCTGGGTGGTCCCTTATTTGACCTGTGATGTTGATAATCCTTTAGTACCCAGAATTTTTATTTTGCTCTGGCTTTGCAAATTATCTATAACTTTATCTGATGCAGTAGAATATGTTTTATTACTCTGCTTGTCTATTGTCCACTTTGCAGGTCAATTTCCAAAGCTCAACTTGACATAGCCCTGTTAGCCTATTCTGTATAGCCTTGAACCTTGTAGCACATTTTGGTATGGTCTCCAGAACTTCCTCTGAGAATTCTGTTGAAGCTGTCAGGATCCCCACAACACTTGCATTTTGCTTCCCTGGACAACTTGGTCCACTTAGTAAGATCTGCTATCAGTGTGAGTTGTGATACTGAAGACTGAGCCACGGCTATTGTTGTGGTACTCACTTGGCAGCAAGGAGAGAAAGTTTCCCTGAGCAGGAAGTTGATTTCTGGTGCCAAGGCCATCTTTAAAGAGTTCTGGTGATTCCTCCCAAAGTTCTTTTATTGTTGAGAAGAGTTTTCGCTATCCTGGGATTTTTGTTATTCCATATGAATTTGAGAATTTCCTTTTCTAACTCTGTGAAGAATTGAGTTGGGATTTTAATGGGGATTGCATTGAGTCTGTAGATGGCTTTTGGCAAGATGGCCATTTTTATTATATTAATCCTGCCAATCCATGAGCATGGGAGATCTTTCCATCTTCTGAGATCTTCGATTTCTTTCTTCAGAGACTTGAAGTTCTTGTCATACAGGTCTTTCATTTGCTTGGTTAGATTCACTCCAAGGTATTTTATATTATTTGTGACTATTGTGAAGGGTGTATTTTCCATAATTTCTTTTTCAGTCTGTTTATCTTTCATGTAGAGGAAGGCTACTGATTTGTTTGAGTTGATTTTATAACCAGCCACTTTGCTGAAGTTGTTTATCAGGTTTAGGAGTTCTCTGGTGGAAGTTTGGGGGTCACTTAAGTATACTATCATATCATCTGCAAATAGCGATAAAAGAACTTCGGGAGGAATCACCATCGCTGACCTCAAGCTGTACTAGAGAGCAATAGTGATAAAAACTACCTGGTATTGGTACAGAGACAGGCAGGAAGATCAATGGAATAGAATTGAAGACCCAGAAATGAACCCACACTCCTATGGTCACTTGATCTTTGACAAAGGAGCTAAAACTGTCCAGTGGAAAAAGGACAGCATTTTCAACAAATGGTTCTGGTTCAACTGGAGGACAACATGTAGAAGAATGAAAACTGATCCATTCTTATCCCCTTGTACAAAGCTCAAGTCTAAGTGGATAAAGGACCTCTACATAAAACCAGATACACTGAAACTAATAGAAGAGAAGGTGGGGAAGACCCTTGAATACTTGGGCACAGGGGAAAAGTTCCTGAACAGAACACCAATGGCATATGCTCTAAGATCAACAACTGACAAATGGGACTTCATAATATTGCAAATTTCTGTAAGGCAAAGGACACTGTCAATAGGACAAAACGACAACCAACAAACTGGGAAAAGATCTTTACCAATCCTACATCTGATAGAGGGCTAATATCCAATATATACAAAGAACTCAAGAAATTAGACTCCAGACAACCAAATAACCCTATTAAAAAATGGGGTATAGAGCTTAACAAAGAATTTTCAATGGAAGAAACTCGAATGGCCGAGAAGCACCTAAAGAAATGTTCAGTATCCTTAGTCGTCAGGAAAATGCAATTCAAAACAATCCTGAGATTCCATCTCACACCAGTCAGAATGGCTAAGATTAAAAACTCAGGTGATAGTAGATGCTGGCGAGGGTGTGGAGAAAGAGGAACACTCCTCCATTGTTGGTGGGACTGTAAGATGGTGCAACCACTTTGGAAATCAGTGTGGCGGTTCCTGAGAAAATTGGACATAACATTACCTGAGGATCCAGCTATACCACTCCTAGGCATATACCCAGAAGATGCACGAACATATAACAAGGACATATGATCAACTATGTTCATAGCAGCCTTATTTATAATAGCCAGGAGCTGGAAAGAACCCAGATGTCCTTCAACTGAGGAATGGATTCAAAAATGTGGTATATTTACACAATGGACTATTACTCAGCTATTAAAAACAATGAATTTGAGAGGTTCCTAGGTAAATGGATGGAACTAGAAAGTATCATCCTAAGTGAGGTAAGCCAATCACAAAAGAACACACATGGTATTCACTCACTGATTATTGGATATTAGCCCAGAACCTTGAAATGCCCAAGATGCAACTCACAGGTCACATGAGGCTCATAAAGAAGGAAGACCAAGTGGGGGTGATTCTGTCCTTCTTAGAAGGAGCAACAAAATACTCAAGGGAGCAAATATGGAGACAAAGTGAGGGACAGAAACTGAAGGAGGGGCCATCTGAAGACCATTCCACCTGAATATCCATCCCATGTGCAGTCACCAAAGGTAGATGCTGATGTGAAAGTCAGGAGGTGCATGCTGATATGAGCCTGATATGAATGTCTCCTCAGAGGCCTTCAAGAGTCAGACATATTCAGAGGCAGATGCTCACAACTAGCCATTGAACTGATAATGGGGATTCTCAATGAAGGAGTTAGAGTGAAGACTGAAGGAGCTGAAAGGGTTTGTGGCACCATGAGGAGAGCAACAATACCAACCAATCAGAGCTCCCGGGGTCTAAACCACCATCCTGGGAGCACTTAGGGAGAGATCCAGGGCTTCAGCTGAATATGTAAGAGTGGAGGGCCCTGCTGGGCATAGGTGGAAGAAGAGAACCTTGACTTCATGAAGACTGGATGCCCCAGGGAGTGGGAATATTGAGGGTGGGGAGGTGGGAGTGGGGGGATAGATAGAGGTTACATCCACAGGGAAGAAGGAGGAGGGGTGAGGGGATAGGGTGTTCCTGGGTGGGTGGGGGATGGGGTAAGGAGACAACATATGAAATGTAAATAAAACATCCAACAAAAAAATAAAAAAAAAAGAAAAAAAGATAAAGTGTTCTGGAATGTCCTGTAGGCCTTTCTTCATTGTTCTGTTCCACAACTGTGCACTCCTACAGAGTCACACTAATCTCGTTAGCGAGTGCTTACTTATGTTTTGTTCTTGCAAACATGGTTTTACTCTTTCCTGACCAGGCTATAAAATTTTAGTCTAAATTCTGAATAAAACTAGCAATTACTGCCCACTGCATATCATTTCTGTTTGGTTGTTTGAATATTGACTTCTCAATATTAAGCACGTCTTGGTGTTTCTTTGTACTCTGTTCTATGCAATCATTTCAGGTCAGTCTCTGTAAGACTTCATAAGAATGCTTTATTCTCTCACAGATCCTTCTTGTGTGAATGTGTGGTTTTCCACCTATTGCTCCTATCTGCTATGAAAAATGTATTCCATGTAACTGTCATGAAGTTCTCCCTTCCTTTGGATGTTAATTCCTCATTTCTTTAGTTATCAAGCATGGAAACATTTAGTGTATTGTCTAGATGTTTTGCCCCTGCGGTCAGATACTTTTTTTACTAGCACACCATTCTTCTTGGAAGAGCTACCAGGATTATTTTTAATAATTTCTCATTCTTCTATCAAAATTTCTGCTTCCAAATGTTGATTACAGTCATTCACTACTTACAATTTTCATGGAAATATTTCTTGTCTATCACAGGTCACTACATCTTTGAGATGATATCCCTTAAAACAGATGCCATAGTCCAGAAATGGAAAAGACTTCTTAACGTTTTTTGTTGTTTGACGTGGCTGTATTAGATAAGCAGTGCTGATTTGCTACAACATTTGGACTTTAACAGGGTGTTTTACTTGTGAAATTTATTTTTATGTAGTATTTATAATTTTAAGAAATTGAGACAAAAATTAAGTCTATAGAATAATTATTAGTATATATGTGTGAACAATATTTCAATCAATTAAGCTACATAAAACTTAAAGCAAGTTTCAGTTCTTATTGATAGTTAAACTTTTAAAATATAATTTATGTATTTGCAAATTAACATAGTTTCATAATTCATGGAACATTACTTTTTGGAAGCTATTTGATAACTTTGAAAAGCTGTAAGCATTTTAAAATTAGCCATAAAATGTTAATATTTTGCAAATGGAAAATTAATGCCTTCAGAATTAATCTGCTTTATTTTGGTAAATTGCATTTTTCCTTAAAAAAATTTTTAAAAAAAATATGACATAGTTACACTTCTTTTTTTTTTTATTTCAGTTATTAGCCTGCAAGGATCGACAGGCTTTCTTTGTCTTTATGGTCTTTACAGATATGATTATGTGGTAAAAGAAAAGATTGAAAAACTGCCTACACCTGTAATGGTTAAAAAAACAGAAGGAAAAAAATAAGAAGAAAAAATTAAATTCTAACTGATTTCTTCGTTGGGTAAGAATTGTTTGCTTCCTCTTTGTCAATAGAATATCATATTGATAATTTTAAAACAATAATTGTGAATAGTTACATTTAAAAATATACTTCATATTATCCAAATATTTTTATATAATATTTAAATACCTACTGTTTGTGTTGAGATAATTGTTAGAATAATTGGAGTTCTGATGATTGCTCTTCAATAATGCTATGAATTAGAAATTTCCCCATAGAACATATAATGAAGTTTAGCTTAAGTGTGTATTAAATTTTGAAAGTACATTATTATATCTTTTTAGAATCAAAATTATATTCATTGATGAATTGACATAGATTCTTCCAGAAAGTTTGCAGTACCTAATTTTGCTGTTTTGTACTTTAGAAGACATGGAATTTAATGCAGTCACATATCTCTAGCTTTTACTTTCACCTGGACTTTATTAAAAATACCCAATAATCTGAGGCTATTGTCCATTTTTTCCTTTATTCTAATATTTACATTTAATCATAGATTATATTTAATCACAAATATTTCTGTGAAGAAACATTTACACCTGAAAGGAGAATAGGTATCAATCATTGTATGAAGTTATCCTTTAGTTAAATTTTTCCTGTAAAGAAATTTTAATTTTTCATGTATTATTCACTTTTTTGTTATATTTTTAAGCCATGGATAAACTCATTTTCTATAGCAAGAAGTCATAAGTCAATTTGCCCTGTTGTTTCCTTCTCTGTGTATTGACAATCTTGGGTGAAACTGTGCTGTTGCATGGAAGGGTTGTTCCATCCATCCACACAGCACTCAGAAGAAAGTGGGAAGCAGGAAGTATCCATTGTACTCACACTCTTTAAATTGAACATACATGAAAATTTATAAACTACTTGTTTTAGTTAGGGTTTATTGCTGTGAATAGGCACCATGACCAAGGCAACTCTTTCCTTTTTATTTTTTTATTTGATATTTTATTTGTTCACATTTCAAATGTTATCCCCTTTCCCAGTTTCCCCTCCAGAAACCCCTATCCCATCTTCCCTCTCCCTGCTTCTATGAAGGTGATCCTCCACCCACACACCCACGCCTACCTCCTCACCATGGCATTCCTTTACACTGTGGCATCAAGCTTTCCCAGAATCAATAGCCTCTTCTCCCATTGAAGTCCAACAAGGCCATCCTCTGCTACATATGCTGCTGGAGCCATTGTTCCCTCCAGGTCTACACTTTGGTTGGTGGTTTAGTCCCTGGAGGGACTGGCTTACAGATTCAGAAGGCATCTAGCCAGATGTAGGACTGAAAGAGCTGAGAATTGTGCATCTTCATCCAAAGGAAGACAGGATAAGATTGGCTTCCAGGCAGTTAGGAGGAGGGTATTAAAATCCACACCCACAGTGAAAAACCTACTCCAACAAGACTACACCTCCTAATTGTTCCAATACTTGGGCCAAGCATGTTCAAATCATCACACTGGTTTTATGTGAAAATTGACTATTTTTGGTTTAAATCTGTAGGACTGGAGAATCTGTGAGGTTCTATGTTCTAAGGACAGTGGTCTATCCTTTGGAAATTTCATAAGATGTTGCTGTGCTATAATTTCAGAAGAGAAAAATATCATTAAAGTATCTATGTGGATCTTTATTTTCAAATAAAAATACTTATATTAAACATTTCTAATCATGTTTTATGGATTATTACTTTTTCTTAGTTTTATGGAGGTGACAGTGTGTGTTCTTGGCATAGGTCATACCTGAACAGTTCTCAGGAGTCTGTTTTCTCATACCAGCTTGTGGGCTCTTGGCATAGTGCTAAGATTTTCATCTCTATGGACAAGCACCATTACCCACTAAGCCATTTGCTAGCCCTGGAATAGGATTTTAAAATAGTCTATGTGTGTAATTTAAATTCTAGTAAGATTTAGTTTCAAAAATTTTAAATTATAACTATTAAAATACTTTGGTCTTCCTTCTTTTTTAGAAGGAGCATCAAAAGGTTCAACCAGAACTCCCAAAGTCTAAACCACCAACCAGAGAGCACAAAGGGAGGGACTCACACACCTGTATAGGGAATTGAGGGTGACCTTGTTAGACTCCAGTGAAAGTGGAGGGCCAAGGTCCCCAAAAGTTTGGATCCCCTACTGTGTTGGAATTCGAGAGCAGGGAGATGGGACTGGGAGGATGTTTGGAGCACACCATCACAAAAATTAGGAGGAAGGGGTAGGGGATAAGGGATTTGGGGGGAGAATGAGAAAGGAGACAACATTGAAAGGTAAATACGTATAATACCCAATAAAAACCCCACACAGATAAAGGATTTAAAAAAAAGGGAGTCTATTTATTTTAAATTAATTTCAACAGTTTCTAGGAGATGCAAATTGGCTAAGATACTATTTTAAGCTCTCCACAAAAGAATTTAAATCTCTGTTCAATATTCTCAAGAGAGAGGTAAACCCTAACTTCCTCAACAGTTAATTGACAAAAGAGAGGTAACCTCACAAAAAGTAGAAAAAGCTATTTCTAATCGATATATCATATAGTCTGATTAATTGTCAGTGGAGCTATAAAAGTCCTTTGACAAAAGATTATTAATATAGATTTATATATCCTTAAATAAGGCCTTCATGACTCTCTGAGTGTGGAAGGAGCAACTGTTGGCGCTTCTGCCCTGATTTTACAAGAACTCTGAAAAATTGTCTTTAAAAACAAAAGAGGGGGAATGGTACCCCCTCAGAAGGAGTCCCCCTGAAATACTCTCCATCATGCCTTGTTCACTTTTCTCTCTCTAAAGCTGAAAGCTCATGGCAAATCTCTTGCTGACCATGTTGGTGACCTCGGGCACCACCAAGACCAACAAAACTTTCCCACAGATATGGGGAAGGACCCTCATACCCATAAAGGGAATGCCCCAGTCCCAGTTCCCTTATGGAGCCGAGGACTGATATGCCTGCCCAATACCACAGAAGGCACAGCTAACTGGCTACCACAAATATTAATGAAAAAAATAGATACCCTCACAAAGCCAGGCCCAATCATAAATACGATGAATAACAATTTACATCCAGGGAAGAGAAATCTCCCTGAGAATCCCCTTCTTTTTTCTTTCCAGGTAAAATTGAATCACCCGTGATGCCTGCTATTAGAAGTTCTAACCCAGATGGACCAGAAGCCAGGAGCCTCGCCCTTACCCTCACCCCCTACCTTTTCCCACCTGCACAAGGTCCCCTGAAGCTGGGCAACTGCAAGATCCTGCTTGGCAACTGCAGATAGACTCAAAGTAGTGTACCATATCATCTGAAGAATAGCAGGGAGACCATAACTCAAGCAGTGTACCATATCTTCTGAAGAATAGCAGGTTGCAGTCCTCCTCGCCCCCACGAATAACCAGGACCCGCCGGTCGGGTCAAGTGGCACCCAGACGTGGGGCTCGAGGCACGGACCCATCCGGACGGACCCTCATTGAGAGGATGTGTGCACGAAATCAAGATTGAGCAAGACAGAGATCATCGCCCGTGACCTGTTGTCCACGGAACCAGGTTGATGCTGCCATCAAGAAGGCAGTTGAAGTTCATTACCATCAGCTGAAAATTGCAGAGGATCCAGAAGTGACTCCGCAGGAGACTGACACAGCTGTCAGCTCCCCTGCCTCCCCCTACGGTCGACCCCTAGACTTCCACGCCCTCCAGAAGGGTTCCTGGTATGCCTGGCTTTGCCCTCATTTCTCTCGCTAGAGAGCTTGGCCTCTTGATCACCACAACAAAAATTGGCTTTTTCCTAAACCAAGGCCACCCTTGATATGGCCGCTAACATTGGGGAGCCTTCCTTTATGACAATATTACACCCCAAACTGACAAATGGTTGGTAACTTGAACATTTACAAGAGACTAGGATGGCTGTGAGTTAGCCCAATGACGGGATTATTGTAGGTCCACTTCCCAGGGGCCCACCCAATGCAGCCGAAAAGGAGTGCGTGGTGCTGGGAGTGGGTGCAGCCTACATGGCCTAAGACAGGGCTCTCACCCTCCTTTCACCCACATCAGAGTCCCTTGACGTTGCCCATCGTCGACAGCCTAAAGCCTTCGACCATCGATGTGACTCGTCTCACATCAGTGTTTTGGGGTTGTGAACTTGTCTAAGACCCCCCATAATTAGACATCCAAATTCAAAACTCACATAGTTGGGATTGAACATAAGACGCCTTCTCTAACTAAACAGAGAAGGGGGAGATGCCAGAAGCCAGGACCCTCGCCCTTACCCTTACCCCCTACCTTTCCCCACCTGCACAATGTCCTCTGAAGCTTGGCAACTGCAAGATCCTGCTTAGCAACTGCAGATAGACTCAAAGCAGAGTACCATGTCTTCTTAAGAATAGCAGGGAGACCATAACTCAAGCAGTGTACCATATCTTCTGAAGAACTGCAGGTAGATCATAATTCAAGGCAGTGTACCATATAGACCATGACATGTTTCAAGGCACAGGCCAAGAAGATTTTGTACTTTTCCACCACCTGGACCCTCTTACCCCCTCCCCTTGTAAAACATGCTATAAAAAAGCATTTCATGTTCAAAAAAAGAAATAAAAAAAAAAAGAAAATGGAAAAAGATGTTAAACTAAAAAAAAAAATAAATAAAAAAAAATAACTATTAAAATATTCTTGAATCTACTGGGGGCTGTGCCAATCCACTAGATATCTATCTATAGGTTCTATCTCAACTTTGTTGGGAATTTCAGCTAATTTCCTCACAATCGGGTCCTGGAAAACTCTAGGGTTCCTTGCATCTGGGACATTCTAGTGGCTACTTTCAAATTCCTGGCACTCTGTTATTTCCTCTATCCCCTCCCATATCTGAACTGGCCCCCATTTTCCTTTACCTTCCTCTTTCTCTCCCAGATCCTACTCTCCCTTCATTTCACAGAGATTATTCTTTTCCCCTTACTGGGTAGGAATGTAGCATACATAACTTGATGTGATCTTATTACTTCTTAGGTTTCATATGATCTGTGAGTTGTATCATGGGTATTCGAGCTTGTTTTTGGCAAATATCCACTTATCAGTGAGTACATACATTGTGTGTTCTTTTGTGACTGGGTTACTTCACTTAGGATGATATTTTCTAGTTCCAACAATTTGCCTAAGAATTTCATGCTGTCTTTGTTTTTAATAACTCCTTTCTGTAAATGTATCACATTTTCTCAATCCACTTCTCTGTTGAGGGACATCTGGGTTGTTTCCAGCTTCTGATTATCTTAAGTAATAATGCTATGAACATACTTGTTATATGTTGGAGCATCTTTTGGGTATTTGCGAAGAACTGGTATAGCTGGGTCCTTGTATTGAACTATGTCCAATTGTCTGAGGAACTGCTAGAATTTTCCAGAGTGGTTGTACCAGCTTGCAATCCCACAAGCAATGGAGGAGTGTTTCTCTTTCTCCACATCCTCACAAATATCTGCTGTCATCTGAGTTTTTGATCTTTGCCATTCTGACTGATGTGAGCTGGAATCTCAGGGTTGTTTTGATTTGCATTTCCCTGATGACTAAGGATGTTGAATTCTTTAAGTGTTTCTTAGCCTTTTGAGATTCCTCAGTTGAACATTCTGTTTAGCTCTCTATCCCATTTTTAAATAGGGTTTTTTGGTCTCTGGAGTCTTCTTGAATTCTTTACATATTTTGGATATTATCCCTCTATCAGATGTAGGCTTGGTAAAGATTTTTTCTGGAATCTTCTTGAATTCTTTATTCTTTACATATTTTGGATATTATTTCTCTATCAGATGTAGGCTTGGTAAAGATTTTTTCCAATTTGTAGATTTTTTTTGTCCTATTGACAGTATTCTTTGCCTTACAGAAGCTTTGCAATTTTATGAGGTCTCATTTGTTAATTCTTGATCTTAGAGTATAAGCCATTGGTGTTCTATTCAGGAAATTTGCCCCAGTGCTCATGTGTTTGAGGCTGTTTCTCACTTTCTCTTCTACTAGTTCCAATGTATCTAGTTTCATGTAGAGGTCCTTAATCCACTTGGAGTTGAGCTTTGTACAAGGGGATAAGAATGGACAGATTTGCATTCTTCTACATGCTGACCTCCAGTGGAACCAGCACCATTTGTTGAAAATGCTGGTTTTTTTTCCACCACTGGATAGTTTTGGCTCCTTTGTCAAAGATCAAGTGACCATAGGTGTGTTGGTTCATTTCTGGGTCATCAATTCTATTCCATTGATCAACCTGTCTGTCTCTGTACCAATACCATGTGGTTTTTACCACTATTACTCTGGATGGTGATTACCCCAGAAATTCTTTTATTGCTGAGAATGATTTTTGATATCCTGGGTTTTTTGTTGTTCCAGATACATTTGAGAATTGCTCTTTATATCTCTGTGATGAATTGATTTTGAATTTTGATGAGGATTGTATGGAATCTGTGTATTGCTTTTGGTAAGATGGCTAATCCTGCCCATCCATGAGCATGGAAGATCTTTCCATTTTCAGAGATAGTCTTCAAATTCTTTCTTCAGAGACTTGTAGTTCTTGTCATACAGATCTTTTACTTGTTTGATTAGCATCACACCAAGATATTTCATATTATTTGTGATACACACCTCAAAAATATTAATCTAGAATTGCTCCTGTCTAAAGGAAATGCAGGGACAAAGAGTGGAGCAGAAACAAAGAAAGGCCACCAAGAGTGTGCCCCACCAAGGGATACATGCTGTCTGCTGACACCAAACCCAGACACTATTACTGATGCCAAGAAGTGCTTACTGACAGGAGCCCAGTATAGTTATGCCTCGAGAGGCTCTGTCAGAGCTGGACCAATACAAATGCAAATGATTACAGCCAAATATTGGACTGAGTGTGGGGCCCAGTGGAGAAAGTT